AACTTGTTATCCAGCAGAAGGAACTCTTTCCTATTCAGATATGGATTGAGCTCCCTGGCCTACGGGAAAAAAAAATGAAGGAAAGAAGGAAGAAATGACAGGTCAAGGGTTATTTAAGTGAAAGCTAAAAGATGTATTAAAGCTCTATTAGTTTATGACACTTTGCTTTATAGAAAACAACATAAAAATCCCTGAAAATATTTCTTTATGATCAATGGTTTCTGGGGGGGAAAAAAAGGCAGCTAATTCCCTTGCTCCCTAACTCTATTTTTAAATTTGATCATATCCTCTTTATTTAGGATGATTTGGGGAAGTATATTTTCAAAGAATAATAAGTTTAATAATAATACCTTCCCCCAAATCTTATAAATTATTACAGGCAGTAGTCCCTGATTTACAAATAAACTATACATAACAAATAAATAGCTGCCTCTGGTCTCTCTCTCTCTCACACACACGCACACACACACACACTTCTAAGAACTTTTATGAAGAAAAAAACTTGGATTTTTAGAAGTAGAGTATGTAGTACATACATAAGTACAGAAGTAGAGAATGAGAAGAAATTATAAAAAGAACTTAAAGGGACTGATCATAAAGGCAAACTCAGGTACAAGTGTACTGCATACTTGTGTGGCTCCCCTACCTTCAACTATTTCACTCATTATACTGCCGGAAATTTTTTTATCTTGTTAGACTCCTGAAATTCCACTAATTAAACATTCTTTTAGGTTAATATTCATCTTCTTGGAAAGTGCAAATAACTCTGGAAAGTTACAGGGTTACTAGTATTTATACACGTATAATAATTTTATCTGACTTCTTTCTTCAAGATATTTAGGTAGAATTAGTTATTAGGGAGATTGGAAAATTTTGGGCGAGAAGAAACCTAATAATTTTAGAGGATGATGCATTTTTGAGGATAAAATGGGTTGTTAGCAGGTACTGCTTTGAGCAACATGAGGGCACCAGGTATTAAGGGAAGCGGGCACTAGGTAAAAGAAGTGGGGCATACAAAAAGGTTGGTGAGCTGAAGCCAAAGACAAATTTTATCTAGGTCTTTCCCAGATCAAAAAAAGGTAAAGAAAGTCTTTTTTTTTCCAGATAATCAGGGAAACTTCATTTTGTTAAAAGGTACAAAAGACAATAAATATCGAAAATTTTACATTAAATTTCTCTGATAAAGGCCTCATTTCTCAAAGACATAGGAAACTGAGTCTAATTATAAAAATAAGAACATTCTCCAAGTGATAAATGGTCAAAGGATATAAACAGGCAGTTTTCAGAAGAAGAAACCAAAGTTATCTATAGTCATATTAAAATGCTCTAAAACACTATTGATTAGAGAAATGCAAATTAAAACAACTCTCAGGTACCACTTCAGACCTATCAGAAATGAAAAATGCTCGAGGGAATGAGGGAAAAATAGGTACCCTAATGAACTGTCGGTGGAGTTGTGAACTGGTCTAACCATTCTAGAGAACAATTTGGAACTACACCCAAAGGGCTATAAAACTGTGTATACCCTTTGACCCAGCAATACCATTACTAGGTCTGTACCCCAAAGAAATCAAAGCAAAGGGAAAGGGTTATTTACTTATCTATTCACTCATTCATTTATTTATAGCAGCTCTTTTTGTGGTGGTAAAGAATTGGAAATTGAGGGGATGTCCATCAGTTGGGGAATGGCAGAACAAGTGTATATGATTGTGATGGAATACTCATTATGCTATAAGAAATGAAGAGGGAAATGGCTTCAGAAAAACATGGAAAGACCTATGAATTGATGCAAAGTGAAGTGAGCAGAACTAGGATAACATTGTACACAGTAATAACAATATCATACTGATGATCAACTGTGAAAGACTTAGCTACTCTGATCAATACAATGATCTAAGACAGTTCTGAGGGATTCATAATGAAAAACGCTATCAACCTCCGGAGTGAGAACTAATGAACTCTGAGTGCAAACTGAAGTATAATTTTCTCACTTTCTTTTTCTTACTTTTTTATGATATGGCTAATATGAAAATGTTTTACATGATTTCACATGTATAACTGATAAATTGCTTGCCTTCTCAGTGGGTGAGGGAAAGGCAGGAGGAAGAGAATTTGGAACTCAAAAAACTGTTAAAATTAAATTAAAAAAAAGAAAACCTTTTTCTTTTTTCTTCTCTGCTACAACAGTTCTCTGATCTTTGGACTCAAAATTTAGGGCAATACTCTTAATATCAAAGATTACATTATGGGCTAATTAGATTTTCACAGGTTAGCCTGAGAATCTAGCTGCTAGTTATAACATCGTTCAATGGAAAGATACATTCTAAGCTCCAAACTTTTAGAAACTGCCTGATCGTTAATTTGGGACCCTTATGCTTTAATTTAGTCAGTCAAATAAAATAAATCTATCCATACACTCCAGTTTTCCAAAGGATCAAGAAGGCAGACTTGATCAGTATTTTTTGAACACACACTAGTTGCAAGGTCCTGTACCTTTTAAGTACATACAAAGGACAACTTCCTAAGAAGTTTAAGATCTATTGAGGAAAATGGAAAAAAAAATACATGTGAAAGACTTAACATTTAAAACATACAAATGAGTCTAAAAGGCTATAATGTAATGTAATTTGGTCTTAAATCAAACACCACTGGGTTCTTAAATCAAATGTCACTAAAATTTTGCAGAGAAATCACATTGAAGAAAAAAGTGATTTTACTAAGTGGAAAAGTGATCTGTTTGGTGGAATTAACTAGGGAGATCTCTAAAGATCAAGGCCACTTGATTTCATTTCAGGAAACTATCTCATACTACTTAACCTCCCTGTCATTCTCCCATATGTCTCATCTTCTCCACTGGCCAAACAAACAAACCAAAAAACCCCAAATGCTCTCCAATTCATAGGATCTTAATGTTGAAAGGGAAATTGAAGTTATCTACTCCAAACCATGCTTGTATAGGGGTCTCCTCTCTAGTAACTCTTTCCAGACTTTGTACGTAGACCTTCAGTGAGAGGGAAGCCACCATTATCTGAGATAGCCCATTCCACTTCAGTTAAGAAGTTTTTGCTTATGTCAAGCCTAAAATGGCTCTATTTGTAAGATTCCTTAGTTTCCACCTTTTTAGGGATTCCATATGCTTGGAATACTTTCCATCTACCTTTTTTTTTTTTATCACTGCTAACATCCAGAATCCTTTAAAATCCAAATACTGATGATAACACACATACTGCAGAAACCTTAGCAATAAAATACAGTAGGAAGGAAAATATACAAGGTATCTTCCCAATTCTTTACTCAAGGGAACTACAATTTTCTTTAATATCCTCAAACTAAAAATTTTAAAGTATAATCCTTTAGTCTTATTTAAAACAAAGTTGGAGAGAGATTTAAAATCCAAATACATTATTAAAATCCTCAGGGCAAAAATGATTGGTAACCTCTTCTTCAACCTCCATTATTCCAGTAGAAAAAACTAAATCAATAGCATTTATAGATGTAAGAAAATTTTATTCATAGTTAGAAAGTTACCCTTATTTTGTAGGGTATAGCAAGATGCCCAAGACTTCCGGCATCCCCCCTCTTTCTTATATTCTAAGCAGATGCAAGCATATCAGACATACTTAAGATGATCCAAGTGGTCTCTACAAATCAAACAATAACATATTCTGCTCTAATCTTACTTTCCTTAGCACTGAGCACATTTAATCATAGTTCTCTTTCCCCATTTAATAAACAATTGGACACATTAATAAACCTAACTCTCTCTCATACCCCTACTTGCCATATAACAACTTAACACTCATCACCCAAATGTGAAAAAGCATAGAAGATAGTGATTTCATTTTTTTTAGTAATGTCATTTAAAAAGTTACCTTACACATGATGCCATAAAAAACCTTTAGAGAACTCTTATGTTGAGAAAGTACAGACTGAACAAGCTTAGCCAGAGGCATCTGTATCAGTCTACCAATTTAATGTTTTAAGAACATCACAACAAGGAAGGAATTAGTTGTCCCAAAGTGAGAAGACTTGTGAAAGAAAGTGTGGTGTAGTCCAATGAGCATAATCTAAATGGTCTTCACTTGAATCTTTCAACAAATACTACGAGAGGAGAGTATCTGCTTTAGAATATGTAAGCCACTAGACAGAAAGAAAACCACAGAATAAATTCCCTTATAGCATCAGTTACTCAATAAATTAAAGTAATATTGCCCTTAACTCTCATAATTTCTCAGAGTAGTTTATTAAGTCTTCTGTACATCCAGAATTCAACTTAACACATTTAAGTCAAGCCAACTCAAAAAAATCTCTTATATAACTCATTTGTAACCAGTGTTTTCTGTTGAAATGAAAGTAGATATAAATACTTAGCACTTCTACATTGGTTCTATTTAAAAACTGCTTTTCAATCATACTGCAGTAGAATCAGAGTAATTTGGCAGCAGCAGAGAGCCAGCAGAGGGAGCACAAAACCTTTTATAATTTATATTCTATTATATCTAATATAGTTTCTCTAAACTCCCTAGAATGCTGAAGTTTTCCAAGGTAGTTTGTTACATTTTTATGTCTAACCAAATTTTGGATAAAGTTTGACACGAGCCTTTAAACCTGTGTTTGAAGTATTATTACAGCATATATATTGCTAAATTTCAAAATAATTAGCCTACAATAATTAATGTCCTTGGCAATGATTAGCGAGTGGAATATCAGCTAAACTCTTTCCTTTAAAAAGTTAAGATATAGTTTTCTCCATAAGTTTTCAACACACAAGCTTTCTCCTGTGATATTATTTAAAAAACCCAATATCTAAACATATGGAACAATTAGCAACTTTATCTTTACCTTACAAGGAACACAACAGTGTTCACTCTCAAATAGCATACTGAATTTAATAAATATGATGTGGCTTAAATTACTGCCTTATCTCCCAAGAGACTTTCAATATAGCTTTTGAAAACAAAAACAAAGGAGAATAGGGAAAAATATATATATAAACTTACGAGATAATGAATGTGTGCCTTTGGGCAAGTATTCAAACAGCAGAGAGCTATCATCTCCTAGCATATCTGCTTTGAGAGACAGCAAGCTGTTCTTACTCATGAGAGCTGCCCGTAAATTAGCAACAGCTGTAGCCTGGTGCAGTACATCTTCCTTCTCTGGGGTGAGGGGCTGAGATAGGTAGCTAGCTTCTCCTCCAAGAAGGGCCTCATCAGCATTTGCATAGAGGTCAGCTCTCTCCCCTCGGCTATCAGAGCTGCTGGGTTCTGTCACCGTCAAGTCAGCACCTGTGAGATGAAAAAACACTATTAGAAAACAGATTTTCAAAACGATAAGAAAATGAGACAAATTTAAGAAGATCAAAGATAATAACTGTCTTTGCTGCCAGAGTAAGGGTGCCCTACCAAACTACAGTTTGGGCATAACTTAATAGCCAATTTAATTGTATCTTATTAGATATATTTGAAGCCATTCAAAAAATTCTAAATTGCCAAGAATCTGAATTAAAATAAATCAAATCAAGCTTTCTGGTTTAATAGTAGAAAGTAGGACACAAGTGGCATCCTATCCTAGCCTGCTGACTGAAGATCACAAGATGTGTACGTGCTGCTGCAAAAACTAAAAGCATCAGGGAGCTACATTTAGAACAATGGGGTAAAGAATGATGCAGGTGCCCATGAGCAGATGTGGGCCTGACTCTGGCTTGAATACTGTTCAACACTTTGCTATGCTTCTGTTTCTCCATCTAAAGAAGATGAAGAGGTTGCCAAGACTTGTAGACAGAAGATGAGATGGCTGCCAGGAACTACAGAGACAAGTGAGGTTAGGATCAGGGGTTCTTAACCCTTTACGTGTCATGGTCCCCTTCGACAATCTGGTGAAGACTATGATCCCTTGCCCCCTTCTCAGAATAAAGTTTTAAAATTCAGAAACTAAAATACATAGGATTACAAAGGAAACAAATTTATATTGAAATAAAGATGATGTAATTTTTTACCATAGAGGATCACATTCCCCTTAAAATCTACCCACAGACAGGTTAAGTGTTAAGAACCCCTAGGTTAGGTGGTCCTGAAACAACTTCAGGAGGTAGCTGAGAGAAAGAAAACCAAATACTGGGTGAAAATTAGAAGAAAAATAAGATTAGATAATATCTATGCCTCATAAAAAGTACCAGCATATCTTGCATAACACCTAAACTAACTCCGGGAAAACGTGATGTTAAGGTAAAGCAATGTTACAGGAGTCAATTAGTTCCATAGGAAGTTTCTTACAAATGGGCAACCAGCTTAATAAATTTACTGTGGGGTTTTGGCTATAATGTATTAATGATGTTGATGCAAGATGATATTGGACAGGACAACTTTGAGAGTCTATATGAAAAAAGAAAAATAATTTTTAGTGGAGAGTGCTTTCTTGCACACTACAAAAAGAGTAGTATCCAGAGAAGAGTAATACAGAGAAGGCTGATAAGGGAAGACATGAAAAATAATGACTCAAAGTATTTGGATAACTTCTAGAAGAAGTCTGGTCTGAAGGATTCCAGCTTCGATATAAATCCATTTAAGAGAGAAACAATGGAAATTAAGAATAGAGGGAACCTGCTGACAAGAAAGAAATAGTAATGACAGACAAGTAAAAGTGAGGAGCATTGCTTCTTTGGGGATATCAAAGAATTAGAGGAGATGCCTAGTGAAAAGAAAGGAATAAAGAGAATAAAGTGAAAATACCATGAGGAACAAGAACAAGACAGAATGCAAGGAAGCTCTCCACACCTTGCAAGAAAGGTGCTAGAAAGTTTAATTGTTAATTTTTCAGATTATATCCTTCCTTTAATTTATGATCTTTATTAAATGTAAGCCCTGATTTATGTCTTATTTATACTACTAATACATGTCCCAAAAATTTCCTTTTTGCTTATGATACTAAATCATTTCAAAAGATATTAAACCTTATTGTCACAGATAATTGTTTTGTGCAAATAAGTTTCCATTTGGTTTCCTATTTCAAATTTGCATCTATAATAGCGGATCTGAACTAACACTTGGCATAAATAAGTTCCTATGTGTTACCCACCAAGATCAACTGTTCCAACTCAAAGAATAATACTAAGCACAACAAGATATTCAGTAAGACATGCCAAAAAGATTCTAGCTTTAACAATAATAAAGACTTCTGTTCTTTGCAATGCAACATAACTCACATGACTTATTACTATTTCAATATTCATATACTACTTTATGATTTTCAAAGTGCTTTGATTTATATATACATATAACTTCATTTAATCTTACTATAGCTATTTACACTAGAATCTGTTCACATTAAAAAGTCTGCTATTTCTAAATATAACACTACTTAAATAGCACAAGAAAATTTTGGTAAACTTCATTTCTAGACAAAAGAGCCCGCAAGTTACAAGGTATAACTGGTCTTGGAGCCAGAAAGATCTGAGTTCAAATCCAACCTCTCACATATACTAGAAAAGAGTAATCCTCAGAAAGTGCTGACTTTCATTGGTGGAGGCAGCACTGTTATCCTGAAATTCCTTATACCAGTCAGTCAACAAGCATTTTAAAAATAAAATTTTACTTTGTTTTAATAGCCAAGATCTGCCTTGTGTCCCCTCGCACCACCCCGCCTCCCTCCCTGCCGTGACCGTTTTTTCTGACCCTGGCCAGTAGAGAACACAAGAAAAACAAAACCCATAACAAACATTTATAGTCAATCAAAACAAATTTACACATCGTCCATGTCTAAAAACAATATTTGTTTCATTATGCATTCTCTCACTAATCCTTTGGAATCCTGGTTGGTCATTAAGTTGATAAGAGTTCAGTACAATAGCATACCAAGACTAAACCCTCTACCGTTTAAACAAGTGATCCCATTCCAACCTGTCTCCTCCAACAGATTGCCCCCTCAGTCATCCCTACTCTATCACTTATTTTTTCCACACTCTATCTACTGGTTTCCTCCCTACTGTCTACAAACATGCCCATGACTTCCCTATCCTCAAAAAACTCTCACTTGATATTTTCATCTCTACTATCTAACATCCTATATCTCTTTTGCCCTTTGGGGCCACACTCCTTGAAAAGGCCATCTACAATAGGTGCCCCCACTTCCTTTCCTCTCACTTTCTTAAGCCCTTGTAATCTGTCTTCTAACTTCATCATTCCACCAAAACTGCTCTCTCCAAAGTTACTAATAATCTCTTTATTGCCAAATCCAATGGCCCCCCCCCACCTTCTTATTTTCCTTGACTTCTCTATAGCCTTTGACACTGCTGATCTTTTCCTTGATACTCTCTTCTTTCTAGGTTTTTGGTATACCACTCTCTCCTGGTCCTCTTCCTACCTATAAGACCATTTCTTCTCATGTATATGTTCCACAGGGTTCTTTCCTGGGCCCTCTTTTCTTCTCCCTCTGTACTATTTCACTTGGTGATCTCATCACCTCCCATGGATTTAATTACCATTTCTATGTTGATGCTTCTCAAATCTACCTATTCTTTCCTAGCCCCTCTGCCGACCTCAAATCTCACATCTCTAACAGTCCTTTAGACTTCTCTATATGGATGTCTGGTAAACATCTTAAACTCAACATGTCCAAAACTGAATTCATTATTTTTCTCCACATACTGCTGCTACCAGCCCCTCCATTTCCCTATTATTTTTTAGTGCAACATTATCCTCCCAGTCCCTCAGGTTCACAATGTAGGAGTCATCCTGGACTTCTCACTATCTCTCAGCCTCTATATCCAATATGTTGCAAAAGCCAGTTGATCTCACCTTTGCTACATATGTCAACTTCTTTCCTCTGCCATTGCCACCATTCTGATGCAGGTCCTCATTGTCTTATGCTTAGACTACTACAATTACCTGCTGTGGACCTGCTTGCCTCAAGTCTCTTCCCACTCCAATCCAATTATTATTTATTTATTATTTTTGGTGAGGCAATTGGGGTTAAGTGACTTGCCTAGGGTCACACAGCTAGTGAGTGTTATGTATGTGAGGCCACATTTAAACTCAGGTCCTCCTGACTCCAGGGTCGGTGCTCTATCCACTGCGCCACCTAGCTGCTCCCTCAATTATTATTTCTTCAATTGATCATTCATCCACCAAAGTGATTTTCTGAAATCACAGTCTATTCCCCTACTCCAGTGTCCTCTTATTGCCTCCAGGATCACATACAAAATCTTCTGTTTGATGTTTAAAGCCTTTCATTACCTAGCCCTCTCCTACCTTTTCACTCTTCTTATACCTTACTCCCTGTCACTTATACCTTACTCCCTGTCACATATTATTAGAATTAGAAATTTGAAATAATTTGAAATAATAATTTCCTAAATTCTGCAGCAGGAAACAGAAAATAAAGTAAGCAGGACTATTTCATTGACAATTTCTTTAGCAAAACAGTGTCAGATTTTCGCACTAGATTTACATAATGTATTACATGCCTGCTTACTGATAAAGAAGACATTTAAAGGGAGAAAAGGCCATCAATTAATGTTGAGGTCAAAGAAGTTCCCCTACATTCAGGGTTCTTAACCTATTTTTGTGTTATGAATCCCACTGGCAGTGTAGTAAAGCCTATGGACCACTTGTCAGAATAATGTTCTTTTTTTGGGGGGGGGGCAATTGGGGTGTGACTTGCCCAGGGTCACACAGCTAGTGAGTGTGAAGTGTTTGGTGTGAGGCCAGATTTGAACTCAGGTACTCCTGACTTCAGGGCCAGTGCTCTATCCACTGCACCACCTAGCTGCCCCCAATAATGTTCTTAAATGCATAAAATAAAATACCCAGGATCACAAAGAAAACCAATTACATTGAATACAGTTGTTAATATATTAAAACAAACAAACAAGTTCATGAACACTCCATTTCTCAACTCAGGGCATTTTCTCCGGCTATCTACCTAAAATGTTTTCCTTCCTCAACTCTACTTACTGACTTCTCTGACTTCCTTTATGTACCAACTAAAATCCTACTTCAACAGGAAGCCTTTTCCAATCCTTCTTCATTCTAGTGCCTTCCCTCTTTTAATCATTTCCTATTTATCCTGCAAATAGCTTGTTTGTACATATTTGTTTGCTTGTCTCCTCTTAGATTGTGAACTCCTTGAAGACGGGGACTGTCTTTTGCCTCTTTCTAGAACAATGCCTGGCACATAACAGGCATTCAATAAGTATATATTGATAACTGATATCATATTTACATACCATAACTTATTCATCTATTCCTCAATTTATGGGTAATTTCTCAGATTTCCATTCTTTGCCACC